TGTTTACTGCACTGATTGCTTCGCTGCTCTTTAACACTTTGTAGATGTGTTCTTCCACTGCTTGTGCGTGAAGGAATCACAGAAAGTCAAACTACTTCATACAGCAGAACTTTTACTACAACTCATCAAAAACAAACCGCTTAACTGTAGGACGGTAGTGACACCTAGTGGTCGTTTCGGTGTGAAGCAGGCGGGCCTAAAAGCCAGGAGCTAACCATAATGAGCATCTTTTGACGTACTGGAAGTGGGGGCAAATTACAGCACAGGTTGGGAAACAGCTAAAAGCCACGATACACCACTTCATTTCATGCTCTGTTACAACTTGAGGCACGTGCACAATTGTACAAATAATTATATAATATTGAATTTGACACCATCAGGTGTTGATTCAGTTCTGTGGTCCTTTTTGAGGCCAGATTTGGTCCCAGTCTTGTTCTTGTATCACTCTGCTATTTATATCCACTATCTGTTTACTGTTGGCACACCTGTTTGGCAAACACAGAAAATGGTGTACACCCAAAAGCTTGCCCAACATTACTGGAGCACTAGCTTCAGGCAAATGAGGGAATCCACACACATTATTTATTGTCTATTCCAGACAATCAAGTTAATTATGATTTTAATATCAATAATCTGCTGATTCTTGACTAGGAAGAACTGGTTCAGGTCAATCAGGTTGCTTTTTTGTTCAGAACCCAAAGATAACGTAAAAGTAAAGCAGCAGACGGAGCTTACAGAAGCTGTAACCACCAAACATTTCGGCTTTAAAAAGCATTCATTGTTGTTGTAAATAAAACTGTGTGGCTGTAGAGATTCATCACACCTTGTATTTTTTTGGAACTCCAGAAACGGTACGACGGGCGCCACGTGGTACAGAGCCACTCCCCCAGCATCCACCAACCATCGAGCTGCGGCACCGCTCCCGCTCCCCCCACCATCCCACCACAAGGCGATCCCCTCCGGAGCCCAACCACCCGCGCCCTGCCAATGAGGACCCCTTGCAGGCCTTCTCCCAGCTGCCCGACAGCAACCACCACCTGCCAGAGGAAATGTACCCTCTGTCGGTGTCGCCGGCTGCGCCCAACGGCCGCTGTGCGACGCCCCGAGAAGCCCCCTGCCCGGGGAGCCCTGGGGGCCAGGAGGCTGCCCCTCCTCGCGTCATCCAGCTCATGCCAAGCGCCATCATGAACCCCCTGCTCCTCAGCCCGAACAGGAGCGGCGGGGGTGCCGCCATGGACTTCAGGCACAGCCGCG